TGTGCTGCACACAGGCCCGCCTCATGTTCAGTTGGCACGATAATCTAGGTACCGCGGTATATTTTCTTGAAGGAAACTACTCACAAGTTTGCTGAAAACTCTTCGACAGCCCACGACCGGTTTCGCCTTTGCTGGGGCTCGTCAGGTAGGCGCGGTCCCCGAGTTTCCCTGAGAAGACTGAGCATGCTTTAGGTGTCTGTCTGTTTGGTTGAATACCTTTGGATTCGTCTGAATGATTGGTAGAATCGATAATCACCCCATCACCAGCCATGTGCCTATTCAAGGCAAATGGTTTCTACCATAACTTTGGCAGATTGGGTCTCAGCTTGGGGCCAACGAGCACAGCTCATGTGTTCTCTGTGTGTCTCTCTGTGTGTGCGTGCGTAATGTGGTCCACCCACCTGATGGAGTAAGTCATTCACAGTTTGAAGTGGATTCAGGTTGATCCGATTTACCACGAGATCAGTTCATTGATAAATTGCGTGTTGATGAGCAGTTCAGCTCACACCTTACGGTTTCTCTCTACTTCTTTCCAAAATGGTAGGCACCGGTTATTGATTTCACAACGAGATTCCTTTTCGTAACAGAGCACGCTACTCATAAGGTTGTTGAGAACTCTCCGACAACCCACCACCGGTTCTGTCTTGCCTTGAGCTCAACTGAAAATAACTTGTTTTTCGGAAAGAATGTTGCAACACTAATCCAGAGTCTATTCGGAATCGGCGCAATAGTCATACTGTAGGTTGTGGTTGATGGGACTCCGTAGAGGGGTAAGGTTAGAGTGCGAACTAAACTAAGTAGTTCCACTCGAACTGGAACAACATCATCACCACAACGACTGATGTGTCTCGACTTGGCTCTGGGTTTAAGGTGCGGAACTACTGACCGAACCCAACTCTGGCTTTACAATCGTTCCTGTAGCTAAACCTCTTGTTTCCTCCGAGCTGCACGGCAGCTGTGCCCCGGAAAACATCACGATTAGAGCACTTCTACCATTCCTTATTAGTGCATCTGTGATGCATCATGTATTTCGCTTCCTCGTTTACCGGTCATTTGTATCGCAGTTGGGTGTTTACAAGACCATAAACAGATGCCGTTTTCTCCCACTCTGACAGATGGCCGGTCTTCGTTGCCCATTTGGTCCTAACTCGGTCTTTGCTTCCTTCGTCTTCTCTTTTATCTCGTAAGATTATCTCCCTAGTCCGGTTATTGTAGCGTCTCCAGGATAAATTGTTGGTTTTATAAATCTGATCGTCCGCCATAATAAATTGCGTTTCCTTATCATTTTGTTTCGTTGTTGGACTGTGTCGAGCACATGGGAATAGTCCAATCAACTGTAATCATGTTATGCGCCTGCTTTTCCATCACTCAATCGATAATCATAAGATATGATTCTCATTCAGTTCTCTCAGTATCCACTGTTTGGGCGGGATGGTTCAAGTGGTTAGAGAGCGAATTTACTGACCGCAAGATCCGTGGTTCGAACGAGACCTCTGCCTCTCGACTTTCCCCGTCTAGGCTTGGGCAACCTGACAGTATCTCAGCCCTCGTGCCTCCTTCGGGTATGATGGCAGCTGGGCAACGGAAGGGTGTTACAGCTGAACGATTTGTTTATATTTATTTATTTAGTATCCACTGTTTAACTTGAATTGGTTAATTTAAAGACACCCCAAGTAAGACAGTTAACCATTGGTTAAACACTGATGTTGCTGTCTCTAATGATGATGAAACGCCCTGGATATCCAGAGAGACTGGGCGAATTTCTGTCACAGACCGTTTTTATGCTTTCGCACGCGTTCCTCTCCGTCACACAGCATACCAGTGTACGAGTCTCCAGCCCTTGATGGAACTTCATGTATGCATCTATTCGATCGCGAGACAGTGATTAGCATGTTTAAGGGTTTTCTTATCTCACCACCTCTTCGCTTGATACACCCTTTTTACTCGGGCATCGTCCTGACTTCCATAACGTCACATATTTCTCCCCGTTCTTGTCAGGTGCGCGTGTCAGGTACGATGTAAAACCTTTCGAGCCATAAATGCTTGTCATTTCTTCTCACAGGAATTGCTTTGCTTCCGCAGGTGGAATTTTACTACTTCTTTTCTGAATAGCTTCCATGTGGAGAAAATTACCCACCCTTATCCATCCCGCGTGCTCCGTTGTGTGCGTGCGTACGTCCGCGCCTGCTCGTATTCCCTGCTCTCTACCGAGCAGGAGCTGCTTTTTTTTACAACTTTTCAGCTAGAGAGACATCTGTATGTGCACGTTTCAGTTCATGGCTGCTGAAACCTGCTTGAAGCTATAGACGTAATACACTACTCATAAGGTTGCTGAAAACTCTTCGACTGCCACGGACGGTTTGCCCCTCTTGAGGCTCATCAGGTAAGCTCAGTCGCCCAGTTTCCGTCAACCTTATGTTCTACTTGAACCCGAATAGCACGAAATTGCACCTATCTGAGTTGCTTATCCAAGGTCATGCGCTGACGATTGCCCATCTACTTGTTCTCGGCCCCTCCATTCCTTTTGTAGCTTAGATCCATCAGAGATGAAACGTCTCGCACAGTTTGTAGTTCTGATTTATCCTGCACAACAAAGCTTGTCATCACGAGGGAGGTGAATTTTTCAACTCATTTCTTTCTCTCCACTTCGTTGTCCGATTTGCCAACAGTCCTCCGCTTATCTCTCAGAATATATCCGTTCACATTTGTAAACCTTACGATGAGTTTGGATGGCAGGTCTATCGCACTCTTTCCCAAATCCCCTAGTTCCTTAGTCATGACATTTCGTTCTAACGTGGTTTCGCTTCTTCCACCCATTCTTATGATGTGGATGTCCCATGACGTTCCCTATGGTTTAAGGTCGCCATCCTTGGGGTTGTATTTTTCCATTGACTCCATTTCGATCTTGCTAATCGGACACCTCAGTTGCCCTGCAGTGGTCCTACTGCGTTGTCTCAAGTCGCGATACTGACATGCTTTCTGTGTGTGTGTGTGTTCATCGTGTTTCTCGTCCACACCAAGCTCGTACCGATGCAAGCCGAAACATAGGAGTTCCCTTTTTTACTTGACTTTTCATACTCGTGACCACCACCAACGTCCGCAAGTGATGAGTTGGAGTCTTTTTTCCCCCGTTTTGAAACGTTGTTTGCATCCTCTCGCGTCAGAATCCGTACGAAGCAAACAACCACTACGATTCATCCCAAGAGCAACCGCGACCCCCTCAATCGGTCACCAGAATTGTGACGGGCGCCTACGTGGACATGAGTCAAGCATCAATTATCCCTCCCAATTCCCGCGCTTCTGCAACACCTACCCTGGGACGCCACCACTCCGTCACCGCTGAATACGCATATCCGGGGCACGCTACCGTGGATGCCCAACGCCCAGGACCCGTCGATCGTAGGTTCCATTTGCTTTCTACTGATTCCTTGTAATAAGTAATACAGTACCTTCTCTCAAGTGCTCCAGTAGAGATGTGTCACGCCTCACAACAGTCGCTTGGATTATCGTTCGAAGGGATATCACCGCCAAACCAATCTACCCAGATCACTTCAAACGACTAAGTTGGGCTACCTGCCTTCCGTTCAAGCGCCCATAAGAATATAAGCTGCATTGAAAGACAGTTCGTGGAATAGAAATGGTTGTCTTGCGCGCTAACCTAGTGTTCCTTTTTGCAAGGATATTTCGTTTTACACTATCGTGTGGTGAGAGCAGTAATGCTCTAGCCAAGTTGCCTGCTCCCTTTTTCGTCGTCCAGGCGAACTACCTAGTGACAGACTGCTTCCGCGAAAGTCTCGACCCAGAACAACTACCAAAACTAGGTGCTTTCTGGTGTTTTTTTGCCTCATGTAAAAATTTGGTTATTTATCGTATCTATTGATGGGTTTTCTTCACAATGGGATACTCTTTCTGATCCGAAAGTTCAACTGCCTCAGGCAAGTTGTGTGGATTAATCAATTTCAAGGTCGCAAAGATTGTGGGGAGCTGTATTCAACAGTCTGCCTTATTCCTAACGATTTTGACCTTTCCTCATTTCGAAGCAGCTGTTCCATGCCACACTTATCTGTCTGCTGGGAAGTGCTGAAGCCATGATCCGACATTCTTCTAACAAGCAACAATGTCTTCACGCTTCCAATTCGGTAAGCGATAAGTCGCTGGTGCGTGGTGCAATAGTCTAGTATTTGATACTATACTACTTGTTGGGTTGCTGAAAACTCTTGGGCGGCTCACTACCGCTTTCATCCTTTTGGGGGATTACCAGATAGATCTGGTCCCCCGATTTCCATACATCGAATTGGACGTTTGTACTAGGAAACACTAGTTTCTACATTAAATCGATGTCAAAGGGGAATTTAACTCAACTTTTGGTCTGCCTAATGAACGTCAAAAGGGACGAAACCAGCGGTGCACTCGTCAACCTTATAAATAGTATCACATCAAGTAAATAATTCGACTTCTTGAATATCGCTCCAACGCCACATTCTTTTTCATGAATAACTTACATTATGTTGATTTCTCGAAACTTTTGATATCATCAGTTGACCTTTTCGGTACCGGCTATCTCCCCTTGTGCTCTCGTTCTACCTTGGATTAACTTAATACCATAGAATGGCTTTGGTTGAGCTTTTGGAGGACACTACTGGCCTCTTATTTGAGAGCGTGATACTATCGTGTATCTCTAATGGGACCTTCTATGTATGATTCAAAGCCGGGCTTCATGGTATTCATGTTTGACAGTCCGCCACGCTTGCTCCATTCGTCCACTGAAAATTCATACCCTGTTTAGTTGAGCACACTAACCATGTTGTACATACTGCTATTATCGTTTTTTTTTTGCACTCTACCAGATGGCTATTCCCGAACGGACTGTACTGGTACGACAACTGTCAACGGAACAATAGCCAACGGGAACGGAGGAACGTATGCCCCTCCTAGGGATTCTCGGTGAGTGTTGACTCTCTTTCTTTGTGACTTTACATTGCCTGGAGTCCGATCAGTGGAATTATATCCGGAACTTGAAATTGAGTTGACTTGAGCCGAACCTGGGATTTGTGCGCTCAAAATTGGTCTGGGTCTGAACACGAAATTGCCCGAATCGACCTCCAGTTTTAGCCTGCATGTTGTCACACCAGACAAAAGTATTCGGGTTCTGACTGACACCATAACCAAGAAGTTTGAGAATGTCTTTGGGCAAAGGTCACGTGCTACCTGTTTGGTATTTCTACCAATGATCTTCTTATCGCCGTGTGAGATGTCAGCTGTGTTTCGGTAGGCTCTTGGTAAACGTCATAGTCTTTTGCTCCTTTCGCGTACGATTTAGTGCGCTTCGGATTAACTTGTGAGGGCTGTTAAATGAAGCTCAAAATAACTCGCTGCCTGGAAACTCCGTGATTAGAACCCAATCCCGGTGGCTCGACTGCTCCTGTTTGGGTTTGAGTAGCCTAGCCTCATCTCAGCCCGCGTGGTTTCTTCGGGTGGCATGATAGCTCTGCCGAAAGACTGTTGCAGCTGTTTAGTTAATGGTCATCTGGCATGTTGCGAGTTCGAGTCCCATCTGTGGTACACTTCCTCCGACTTATTGTAGCCCCTTTCGCACAGACAAACCTAACAATCAATATATTTTGTCTACTGCTTAGTTAAATGGGCCCCCGTGCATCTGTTCGTAAGATTAGTGCGATCATAAACGAACGCATTCTGGTGCGAAATCGTCGGTTCCTCGCGTTGTGATAACCCATTTGAAATCTATAAATTAGGCAAGGCACTGCAAAATCGGTCTTATACAAACTCTTCACAGATCTAGGCGAGCTCGCTTTGATTAGTAGAAAATCTGAACCCAACAGCTGATCATGTTCCAGTGTCTGCTGGATGCCGGTTGCCATTGGCGCATTCAGGAGGCTTTTTTACTTTCCAGGCGGGCTCTGATTAGTAGAAAATGTGAACCCAACAGCTGATCATGTTCCAGTGTCTGCTGGATGCCGGTTGCCATTGGCGCATTCAGGAGGCTTTTTTACTTTCCAGAGCGTTGCTGTTACACACACTCTTAATACGACGCGCTATAAATGAGTTTTTGATTGGTCTTGAGCGTTTAATACACTATGTATCCTCGGTGATTCTTCTTTTAAACGCTAGTATGGGAGAATCAGAACGAGAACTGAGTTGAGCTGAGCTGAGATTTAACCGTTATTTGAAATGGCAAACGGGAAGCAGCTCTGAGGATTATTGCAACAGCACCGGAAACAGTCTGAAGAAACACAGTTGAAGCTCGTCTTAGACTGAGTGCCAAGAAATCAAACAAAGTGAGCCTTCTGAATCTTCACCTAGCGCGGCCGTGGCCCCATTCACGGAATTCACATTGGACCCTCTTTCTGTCCACACTTTTGACTCGATGACGGATAGAAAGCCAAGTTGTTTCCGCGAAAACTCACCACGCTGAAGGCTGGGCGATATACTAATTTCGTTCCTCTTAGTCTGTCTCGTGACCTCAGCTTCGATGAAACTATCAAAGCCCTGTCGCATGTATTCGGTGGTCAGATGTTGCGGTCCTTTTGGAATAAGGCGCGAGATTTGAAAATAAAAGTGGCAATAACTCAAAAAGCAAATGGGAATACTGATATCCCCAGGACTCTTCACTATATTTCAAGAACCTGTCGTGAAAATTCAACTTCACTCTGTTTTTTTGGCAAGCAACTCATCCAACTGCACGGTCTGTTTTTCCACGGCGGTGCCTGAACTGGCTGTTCCTGAATATCTGGTTCCAATGATTTTCTCTTCGCGTACTGAGTCAAGTTTTGCAATTTTGAAGACTCCAGTGGTTCCGCTCATTTGTCACGGACCTTCCATGCCTGTCGAAAGTTCACTCTCCCTGGTTTCCCGCACTTGCCTATCCGTCGTAGTTCTACTTTATAGATTTTAGTGGCCTAATATATGTCGAGATAGAGAACCGATTGATGTGTTGACAATACTTTTGGATTACATGTCAGCATTTTGCCACTATCGGCTTGGTACTGCGAATGCGCCAGTACTAGGTATCATTGTCTGGCCATCTGGAAGTTCACTGTTCAACTGTTTCGTCTCCGTTGTCGCTGTGTAACCACACTTGTTTTTGGTGCAGACCCTCATGAATGGGAAACTAGGCAACAGGTGTTTTCTTCATTTCGCCTCCTGCTGATTTTCCAATTGAGAAATATTCAGTCGTAATTTGGTCTAGGCCGATTCTTCCAGGTTATTCGAAGCACATGCGCGCGCATACACACATCTGCGGTCCACGGGCTTGCCACATTCACGCTTACGAACATCTTGTCAGCATCTTTAGTGTTTTGTTTACTTGTTTACTTCTGGAGTTGTCTTTCTTTGCCAACATGTTGCGATCGATATTTTTGTGAAGGTAAGGATAATGCGCGATGAATAATACCTTTAGTGTTTTACTTGTTTACTTCTGGAGTTGTCTTTCTTTGCCAACATGTTGCGATCGATATTTTTGTGAAGGTAAGGATAATGCGCGCGCGATAATAC